CTCTGCCCTTGAGTGACACAGGAGAACACCCACAGAGAGGTCACCACCCTGAGCCGGGTGTGTGTGTGTGTGTGTGTGTGTGTGTGTGTGTGTGTCCACGAGCCTGTCCGACCCAACTTGTACTTCTCAGTCCTTCTTCTCTCCCCTCCTCATCAAATTCCAGGACACTGCATAGACACACCTTACAAGAACTTCCTATATGCCCCCAACCCCCACACACCTCACACAATTTATCTCTGTCCACACCCTTCTCTGCCTCCTCCACTCTCTCTGTGAAAGGAGGCCCTCCGTCCAAAGTAAACGCGGCCCCGCGCTACAGCCAGACAGCACAGCCTGCAGAGCCTGTGTTGGGGAATCAGGTGGCTTGGGTTTGAATCTTGGCTCTGCAACCTGGTAAAGCACTCGGTTGCCAACCAAACTGGTGGCACTTTGGCCCCACCAGCCCCTTCCCAGGAGAAAGAAGTGGCAATTTGCTTCCGTGAAGATTGCTGTCTTGGGAAACCTGGGGGGCGGTTTTACTATCGTCTGTAGGGTCTCTGTGGGGTCGGAATCAACTCCATGGCCATGGGTTTGCTGGTTCGGGTCTTCTGCCACCTGTGACCTGTGGTCTTTCGTTCATTCAGAACAGTTAACTTGGTAGCTAGTGTGTTCCAGAGGCAGTGCTTAGGGATAGACATTGTGCTACATAAAAGAAACCAGAAGTGGAGCGGGCACAGTCAAGACAGCAGCCTGGGGAAGGGGAAGGCTGGGGTGGTGGTACTTGGTAAGCCCAGCACCTCCCAGCGTGCATATCCCCACCACGTAGAATGAGGGCAATCAAAGAAGAAGCATGTGTGGTGATGAGACACTGAAGGGCTGACCCTCCGCTTCTCCTGAAGCCTAAATGGCTGGAAATGGAAGGGAAGGCAGCTTTTTAGCAAGAGTGCGTGCTTTCTCTAGACCAGTGATTTTCAATGGGGCTGGCCAGGTCATTTTGACACCCTCCATCTGCAGGAGGTGGCATGGGGGGTGTGCATGGGGGAAAGTTCTAAAACACAAAAGGAAACAGCCTTTTTGGGATGCGAAAGAGGTTAAAACAAAAAACAGCTAAGCTGCTTCTAAGGCGCTCTGGTGGTACAGTTGTTAAAAGCTCAATTTCTGAACGAAATGTTGCAGGTTCAAACCCACCCAGTTGTTCTGAGTGGGCAGGTGGCTGACTTTGGTACAGAAAACCCCATTGGCAGTTCCACTCTGACATGTGGGGTCTGTAGGCATCAGGACGGACTTGAAGGTGCCCAACGACAGCAAGCAAACAGCTTCCAGACTAGTCTCCCTCTGTGGGAACCTTCCTTTGGAGGGGAGGCCAGTGTTGGTTCCTCTCTGATAGACTGCCTTCCTGGGCACAGCAGTGGCTATGGCGGGAACTGCTGGCCTGGTGACCCTGCTGTGAGTGGGTACAGCTTGAGGTTCTCCGGCAGCCATTGCACCTGATTTCTTCTGTACTGGGATCCTTTCTGGTGGCCCCAAGTCTGCAGGATCGTTCAGAGGCAGACCAGGTAAGGGCAGTTCTTAGCTGGGTGACAGGGGAGTCGGAGAAAGGCCCGTGTCTGTGCCCAGGCTAGGGCAGGACAGAGTGAGTGCCAAGAGGCCTGGGAACAGCCGTTTCCAATGACAGTAAGGTCCAACGTGCTCCCTCTGATGAGGGAGAGGAACTAACAGGAGGGAAGTGGAGCTGGAAAGCCTTCTAAGAGCACTGGAAGGGGGCAGTATAGGGCCTGGCCTGCTTCCCATGTCACCATCTTAGTGCAGACCTGGCTGCCCTGCCCTGCCCTGCCCTGCCCAAACCCAGATCCCCTCCGACAGTGAGCTGTGGGGCTGATACCAGGTGGATGGGCCCAAAACTGATGGCCTTCTCCTTATCTTAATCAGTGGCCTGGAAGCCCCACCCCTCCTCCATAGGTTGAGCCACTGCCCCCCAATAGGCCTGGCTACCTCTCCAAGGTGCAAATAGGACTCATACCCTGACTCTGCTCGCTAAGTCTAGAGTTAAATTAAATTTAGTTAAGTAGCTTGTGGGGACTTGGAACAGCTGGGTCTGATAGAGAACAACCTACAGAAACAGATCTGAACAAAGAAAAGGTTGGTGGAGAGGGGCCTACGGGACAGTGTGCAGTAGACATGAGGGTGCCCCTGGCCTCTCACCTCAGTCCCGAACTCATTCAGCTAGGGTTCATGGTCCCGGCCCAGGGCCTAAGGACTTTTTTTTTTCTGGAGAAACTGAACCACCACAGATGCTGTCAGCCAACTGTCCACCAGATCAACCAGAAGTGACTCCCCAACGACAATGACAAGGCTGCCTGGCTCATGGACCTTCCGGTCAGCCTTTGAGTAAACTCGTTTTCAAATAGGACCAGACACCCAGCCAGGGGTCAAGGGTGTTTGAGGAAAGCCCCTCCAGCCCACCCCCACCCCCACTAGACTGGGATTCCCAAGACATTAGACAGGAATCTAGGCAGAGCTAAGAGTACACAGGAAACAGAATAAAACATTTAAAGGAGAGATCATATTCTGAAATGACAAAAGCATTAATTATGAATTAAAGCGATTATTATAACGTGCCAGGCATCATCCTAAGGAAACTCATTACCAAACGTGAAGATAAAGATAATGTGCCCATAAACAAATAAGAAGATGTGGGGGGCAGGCGGGAAGAGCATCCAGCGACCAATAAAGAACACTGTGAAAGCAATCATTGTCTGCTCCTGTAAAGATCGACAGCCTAGGAAACCCCCCAAAAAAGGTTGCTAGGAGTCAGAGGTTGCTAGGAGTCAGAGGTTGCTAGGAGTCAGGACTCTATGGCAGAGGGTTTGGGTTTGAAATTAATCATGATTAGAGAAATCAAGAAAAATCAACAGACGTGTCGAATGATGGAGCTGAAGAACCCCCTAGAAAGTAGACAGACAGACATTGGGGGCGAGGGCCAGGAGGAGAAAGGCTGCTCAGAAGATCAATACAGAAAGTCCACAAAAAGGAAAGAGGGTGTGGTCACCCAAGAGAATGCCCTGGAACTGGAAGACAGTTTCCCAATAAAACGAGACTGAATAAAAAGGCCCACTCCAGCCAGGGGCTTAGGTAGAGAGCAAATGTTTTGAGAATGATGAGGGCAATGGATGTACAAATGTGCTTTACACAATTGATGTGTGTATGGATTGTGATAAGAGCTGTATGAGCCCCTAATAAAATGATTAAAAAAAAAAAAAAGGCCCATTCCGGGCCCATCACTGGAATGCCGGGTTTGAAGGGATGAAAGAGCTGGGTAAAAAAACAGGCTAACTATCACAAAGGAAGGAGCCTTGGGTGGCTTTCATAGCTACCCTAGAGGCTAAAAAGCAGGAGGAAGGTCTTCCACATTCTCGAGGGCTGGGGGCAGTTGTATTCATCTGACTGTTAGGAAGCTTCCAGAGGGCATGCTGTAGGTAGTAAATGAGAGAAAATATATTGTTTTCAAAAGGCCAATCCAGGAAACAGGAGCCAGGAGGTGTGGGTTCCAGGAAACATCTGGGTGTGGCCAGCAGACCGGCCCACCATCTGGAGAAGGACCGTGCTGGCAGGAGGTCACCTGGGAAATGGGAACTCACCTGATAAATGTTTGAGCATTCTCGGGGAAAAAACTGCTATAGTTAGATGTGAAGTGGCAGTTATAAACATTTCAGTATAAATGTGTAAGCAAATAAAAAGATCATTATTAACTCCAGAAAGGAAATACTATCTAATATACTTTTGTCTCTACAGCGACCGCGAACTACAGTTATCGTCATGTAAACATGGATTATGGATTTGGCTGAATATTGTGATGCAATGATAAAAGGTGGCTGTTGGAAGGGGGGTGAGAAAGTTAAATCCTTGTCTACCACAGGGTGAGGCTTTTCTTGATTGATGGATTTTTAAAGATCATTTTATTGGGGGCTCTTACAGCTCTTATAACAATCCATATATCAACTGTATCAAGTATATTTGTACATATGTTGCCATCACTATATTCTAAACATTAACAATCTATTTGAGCCCTTGTTATCAGCTCCTCTTTTTACCCTCTCTCCTTCCTTTGTGACCCCTTGATAAATTATAAATTATTATTAATTTCATATCTTACACCGACCGCTGTATCCATTCGTCCCTTGATTTCTTCCCTCCTCCTCTCCCCACCTTCCTCCGACCCTCCTGGTATCGCTACTCCAATTTGTGTTCCTGAGGGGTTTATTTGACTTGGACTCCATGTGTAGTGAGCTCTTACCTATACCTCTGTACATGCTCTGGCGTAGCCCGCAGTGAAAGGCAGGATTTGGGTCATGATGGCGGGCGGGGGTAGGGGTGGGGTGAGGAAGCCTCAAGGAACCAGAGGAATATTGCATGTTTCATCGGTGCTATACTTCACCCTGGTTGACTCATCCCTTCCTTGCGACCCTTCTGTGAGAGGAAGTCCCATTGTCTACTGATGGGTTTGGGTCTCTGCTCCGATCCCCTTCATTCACAACAATGTGATTTTTTTTGTTTGTTTGGGGTCTTCTGATGTCTGTTACCTGATCCCGTCAATACCTCATGATCGCATAGGCTGGTGTGCTGCTTCTGTGTGGATTTGTTGCTTCTCTGCTAGATGGCTGCTTGTTAAATGTCAAGCCTTTAAGACCCCAGATGCTATATCTTTTGATAGTTGGGCACCATCAACTTTCTTCACCACATTTGCTTGTGCAACCATATTGTCTTCAAAGATTGTGCCAGGAGGGTGAGCATCCCAGAATGCCAGGTTGTTAGAGGTTCTTGTGTTGAGGGAAGACTTGAGCAGAGGACCAAAGTCTGTCCACTTCTTTAATGTATTGCCATATAGATATATGTATACCTATGCCAATGACTGTAGTTTTATGAATTAATATATTTACATGAGTGCACACCTATGTTTATACCTCTATCCATAGC